GCATGGTATGTAGAGGTATGTAGAGACCTAAGACTTGAAGAAAAGCGGGACTGCATGCCCACTTCAGTGATTCAAAAACAACGAATTTCTCAATACCTGTTGATGTTGTATGACTTATACAACACCTGTTAGCTCTTCGAAGAAGATGAATAATATAAACAAGGATCTTGTCATACATGAGCCTGTAGAATCAATTGCCTCTTGGCAATGAAGAGCAACAACAACCCCATATGAAAGTGCCAGTAGATGAGGCCCCAGAAGGTCTCAAAAAATTAGTAAACCAGTTTTTCTAATGACTATGAATCCTATGTTAGTAAAGAAATTCAAATGGAGGGTGATTCCACCTCATTTAAAGAAGCCGTGAGAAGCGTTTACTCATTTAAATGGTAAGAAGCTATAGGTGTAATTGTCAATGGAGCCAAAACAGTAGGCTGTTAATGAGTCTACAAGACAAAAATTGACTCCAAAGGGAATGCAGAAAGATATAAAGTTGAAATGAATTCGATGAGTACCAACGATGTTTGGGACTTAGAAGTAATTCCTAATGGTGCCAAAACAGTAGGCTGTTAATGGGTCTACAAGACAAAATGTGACTCCAAAGGAAATGTAGAAAGATATAAAGCACGACTTATGGCAATATGCTTTAAGCAAAGAGAATGAATATATTACAATGAGAGTTTTCTCTCTAGTCTTATGCAAGGATTCTTTTAGAATCATAATGGTGTTAATGTCACGTTACGATTTAGAGTTATATCAATTGGATGTAAAGACGACATTCCTCAACGGGGATTTATATGAAAACGTTTACATGGCACAACCCAAAAGGTTTTGTCATGGAAGAAAAGAACATATGGAATGCCGCCTGTAGAAATCTATTTATGGGTTAAAAGTAAGTCTCTAGACAGTAGTATTTGAAGTTGATGAAACGATAAGAAAGTTTGGGTTTTAAAGAAAATGAGAATGACTAGCGTTTATGCAAAGTTCAAGGATGGAAAATTCATTTTCCACATCCTATGAATAGATGACACTCTACTCACTAGTAGTGATGTTAATCTATCATTGGAGAAGAAATAGTTTTTGTCCTCAAGTTTCAATGTGAATGATCTTGGTGAAGCGTCATTGGTTCTAGGAATCGAAATTCACCGAGATAGAAGAAAAATGGAGTATTAGGACTTTTGCAAAGTCATACTTAGAAAAGATTCTAAAGAAGTAAAGTATACATGCGAGTAAACCTACGCCTGCTCCTATAGTCAAGGGTAATGGATTTAGGAACTCTATGTGTTCCAGGAACCGATATGAGATCAATCTAAAGAATAAGGTTCTATATGCTTCAGCTGTTGGAAGCTTGATGTGTGTACAAGTACAAGTAAGAACTTACCTTGACGTAGTTTATGTATCCGAGATATTTTGGCAGAAGTCTAGTTCAGATATAGATCACTGGAATTAAGTTGAGAATGTCTTGCAATTTTGCAAAGTATCATAGGCCTAATGCTGAGTAAGAAAGAATAAGTACTCTCAAATAGTTGAGGGTATAAAAGTTAAGTCTTGGCGAGATGTGTAGTGAAATCCACACCAGTTGCTAACACTTACAGTTGAAGTATTATTGTGGAAAAGCTCCAAAGAAACAGTTGTGGTGTCATCAGTGATGCATACTATGGTATAGCTTGACATGAGGCTTAAGGGACAGGTAAAAGGAGGTTAAGCGAATTTGTACCAAGATTTAATAATGGTAGACAACGGCAATAGCCATTTTAAGTAAGTTAACTCCTAGGACAACAAATAAGTGTGCTGCCAAACACATTGACACTAAGGTATATGTTGTAAAGGAGAAAATTCAGAATCATTTTGAAAGCATTGAGCACATAACTACCGAGTAAGTACTTGCGGATCCACTTACCAAAGGCTAACCACCTAGTGCGTTCAGAGAACACATAGTCGACATGGGTTTATAGGAAAACCTATGATTCCTGGATACTAATGGCCTAGTTGAGTATCTATTTCAAAACAGAGAGGTGCGTTGTAGCTGTTTAATCTAATGGCAACAGACCGTGACAATGAGGCATGCTCTATGCACTGATCTGAGACGGAATGGGAACAAGATAAAGTAAGTAAGTTAAGTTTAAGGAATAAGGTGAGATTAAGAGGGAGAATGTTAGTTTGATCTCCAGCAATTGGCCCAACGGCTAATTGGGCCCTTGGATCAGCGCCCTGATCGGGGGCGCCCAACCGGTCCATGGTTGGTGGGCCCCCATTGCACAGCACCATAAAGGGAGGTGGGGGCCGGGGCTCTATTTACGAGGTTGACCTGAGCCGCCGCTACCCTCCTACAGAGAAACCCTAACGCTAACTGATCAAGAGAGACGGTGCTGCCAGTGACGGGAAGCCGCCACCGACTTCACCGCGCCTCCAACATCCTCGCCGGTGCCACTGCAACTACTACACCGATGCAAGGGGACTCGGACATGATTCACTCTAGATAACGATGACCTAGGGCGAGGTACATCACCAAGTTTCCCCATCTAAACAATGATTTACCCATTGATCTGTACCTAGAGGTTCTAGAGGATCTATCACTAGGATCTCGATTTTGGATTGGGGATCTCGATTCGAGTTTGCGGATTTCGATTTGTGAGGTTCATTCTGCCTTTCCTCTTCAGGTCCATCGAGCTGACATCACACCATGGTGGAACAATGAGCTGGGAGATGTCATTTTGCATTGACTCAGTTGCGTATTCAGGATAGTTGGCAGCCGCTCGTAGATGCTGTTGAGCATGAAGGTGACGGTCTAGCTTCCATGACCTGCTTCTTTTGCCATGAGATCAAAGGTAGCTTTATTTGAAATGCTGACTGCTTTAGCATTTTCTACACTTGCAAGTTGTGCTTCTGTTATTCTTCTTTGAGATCTTAAATGATGAACTTGACTGCTAGTAGCAAGAATATGATTATGTTCAGGCTCAAACTCATAGATGCAGTACAATCCATCTGTAAGACTTATCTTCATGCGAGCTTCACACATACATCGTGTCTCTGGTTTACTATAGTTGGAAGATTCTTCCTTTTTATCAGGACGCCGAACACCTATTGAGAAATAAATAACTGATCAAAATGATGTTCTATCCTTAATGATGAAGAAAGTGGCACAAGACAAAAGTGATTTAATACCTGCACGAGAACAACAAAAGGTTCTATAGTTTATGGTGGTGTTATTTTTCACATTATGTGAACTGCTCCTTCGAATACTAAAACCCTTGACTCGAGCATGGGCATTGTAAAAGCCGTATGCCTCTTCTTCAGTGCAGAATTTCATACCAACCTTAGGTATCCTGTCTTCCATAGAATTTTCTACCTGCTCTGGTTGGATTTGTAGCGGGTTTCATGCAAAATAAGTTAGAAATCGTGCAAACTTGCAGTGGAGGTTAAATTTCAAATATATTTGCATAGACAAAACAAATATAGATTATGAATGGTAATCCAATATGACTTGCATTTTCTAACTCTATTGCTACTGTGCCAGATGAAGAATGTTGATCCGGAGAAGTTTTGTGAGAATGTGACAACAAATGGAGGTCATATCAAGATTCTGGGTACCTGCGGAGAACCGGCCTTCATGTAGTTAGCCTCGTCATTCATGGGGGGAATTGGTTGAGAGCCTGAGATGAGCCCCCATGTAGTCGTCAGGCATGGAGAGTACTGGCTGAGATGCCATTGTTGTGTAGATCGAGAGAAACGAGAAGAATGCTAATCTAATAATACCCTCCCGTATGTATCTATCTGATGAAACCAACTATTATAATTGGCGCCATTTTTCACATGCTAGCGCCTTTTGCCTCCTTTATTTAATTCAATTGGCGGGAATTTAATGTGGGTCCGATAACACGTGAACGTGGGAGACAGAATAGGCGGACAGTTCCGTCGGACGGCTCCTTTTTCTCGTAGCGTATGGCGCGGACGGAGAAAAGGTGAGGGTCCATCTCTGGAGGAGAACGAATGGATGGTGGACACGTGTGTGGAGACACCGAAGGGGACACGCCGAGGAGGCAAGCTTCAGCCATCAATTTATGCTTATTACGTTTGTGGAATTAGAATAATTAATTAATACTGTTGCGTGTATAGTAAGTTTATCAATGCGAGTAATTGGAGCGCTCGCTGTGAACAGTGAAGGAACAGTATGGGAATGCTCAGGACGCGTGAATTCCACGCGCATTTAATCGGAGCAGTCGCGCGAAGTCCATGCGAACAGTGTCTATGAACAATGATAGAACAGTAGTCGGAACAATCAGGACGCGCGTATTCCACGCGGACAGTACATGTGAACAGTGACCGAACAGTGTGGGAGCGCTTACGACGCGCGAATTCTATGCGCGGATAAACTTATAGTATTATACTACTCCCTCCATCACAAATTAGAAGTCACAACTTTCTTGGGGAGTCAAAGTATTTGACCAAATTCGTATAATAAAATAATAACATTTATAATACCAAATAAGTATCATTATATTCTTCATTAATTATATTTTTATAGTATATATCTATTTGATGTCGTAAACCTTTATAATTTTCTCTAAAATTTTAGTCAAAATTGAGATGTTTTTTATTCTTTAAGAAAGTTAGAATAACTTATAATTTTTAAATAAAGGGAGGACTACTGTAAGAGGGGTATATGGTTTGTCGAGCTGGGTTCCGAAGCTTGTCTGAAGTAGCTCTTAATCGGCTTTACATGTATATCCTACATAAAGTAAGAGATAAGAGAAGGGCCCAGCTCTTGCATCCACCTTTCTGTTTACATAAAGCGTTTGTCGGCCATTTGTTGCTTCTTGTCTGATGCAAACAAGGTATTGCTTTCGTTCGACGCAACCTCGTGAATTTTCTTCACATAGCAGCACATGATACATGCATACTGTTCCTTACTTGAAGTTTGAGGAACCCGCTGGCGCTGGCCGATATGTAAACAGGCTGCAGCAGGTGAAGTGATGTCGCAATCCGGCACACTGCAGCTTGCCATGGACAACAATGGAGCCACTCCACAGTCCACACCACCCATGCACCCTGAGCTTCTCATGGCGGCATGCCATGGCTGGCATGGGCAACTGACGAGCCTTCTCAACGGGGAAGATCATCAAGCCGTACCAATCGAGCACCGTCGACCTAGCAACTTGGCCGCCGATGCATCTCAAGCAGCAGTGTTCGTTGAGATCGATATCCGTCGCAGCAACATGATGAGCCCACCATTGCCGACGACGACGACGTCGCTTCTCCTCCAAGGCGTCACTTCAGACGGGGACTCCGCACTCCATGTGGTAGCAGCCGCCGGAGATGACGACAGGCACCTGCGAAGCGCCATGGTGATCTACAGCAAGACCAGGCACCTCTTGGAGGCACGCAACAAGAGGAGGAGCACGCCGTTGCACGTTGCCGTCAGGGCGGGCAACGTCGACATGCTCGCTCTTCTTATCCGCTTGGCCGGAGAAGAGGAAGGCGGGGAAGACAGGAGGAGGGCACTCCTGAGGATGGAGAACGGCGTTGGGGAGACGGCCCTGCACGAGGCGGTCCGCGGGGACGACATGCGGGCGGTGGCCGTGCTGATGACGGCGGACCCGTGCCTGGCTCGTGTCCCGGACGCCGGCGTCTCGCCGCTGTACCTGGCCGTCGCTCTACGCCGGTACACCATCGTACGGGACTTGCACGCGAGGGACAACCAGCTGTCCTACGCTGGACCGGCTGGACAAAATGCCTTGCATGCCGCGGTCCTTCAAAGCAAAGGTGCATACACAAATTTTAACTAAAGCACACTTACCATTTGAATTCGTATGTTTTGTTGGAAGGTCAAACTTCTCTAGTCTTGACCAAGCTTATAGAAAAATGCACAAATATATATAACATCAATCGAGATCCATTAGATGTACCATGTCATATATTTTGATAGTCTATTTGTTTTATTATAAATCATGAAGCTAATCCGCAAAAAAGTTCCATGTCCATGTTTCAACCAAATAATAAGAAATTTGAGATGCAGCATGACAAAGTTGAAAAAAGATTAAAGGTTTTGTAGTATGTTGTGGTCATGTTTTTGATTGGTGAGTGCCCCTTGAAACACACAAAGATTAAATAGAGTTCTGTAAGCCATATGAACATGCATCCTACCCGCAAGATGCAGGGGAGAGGAATCCTTAGCTCACAGCTTTTCTTTGTGGACTATAAATAACACTAATGGGGCTAGGTGAACTACCTTTCAGAGATGACAGAATTGCTTTTGGAATGGAACAAGCAACTCACTAAAGAGCAGGATGAACATGGAAACATGCCGCTACATTTTGCTTTGTCACTAGAAGGGGAGGCACATGGAATGCTTCCCCAATATGCTGTGCCGGTTAAAAAAGGAAAAGCTATTGCGACCCTTTTGAACATAACAAAACCAACGTTGGAACTTACCAGGCAATTACTGGAAGCAGATGCATATTCAGCATTTCAACCAGACAGAAAAGGGTCGTTCCCTATACACATTGCAGCCTCGGCAGGTAGACTTCTAGCAGTCATCGTTTTGGTCACAAAGTTCCCTGGTTGTGCTGGATTGCATGACTCAGATGGAAGAACATTTGTTCATGTTGCTGCCAAGAAGAAGAGATACAGTATAGTTGCATATGCATGCCAAACGCCGGCATTGTCAACGATTTTGAACAAGCAAGACAATGAAGGGAACACTGCTCTACATCTAGCTGTTGAGGTTGGGGATTGGTGGATTTTCGCTCGCCTATTTGCCAACAAGCAGGTGGACTTGAATTTACCAAACAACAATAAACAAACCCCACTGGAACTTGCTGTTAACACTATTCCCACAGGACTGTACTTAATCCTGGTAATATAGTCAATCCCAAAATAAAATTTCTCACATGTTTCTTATATTTTTTTGACCAAAATTCAAGGAAACTAATATTTCTATCTCCTCTCTGCAGAACTCACGAATTCTGATACAGGAAACACTAATAGCTGCCAATGCTACTCGTGGTGTTTTTCGTCGGGATGCTAATATGCAAGAATATAGTCCCCAATCTGATGCAGAGAATGAGGAAAAAGGGTCTGCAATAGTATCAAATTCAACACAATTTCTTAGCGTTGGCTTAGTCTTAATTACAACGATGGCATTTGGTGCTAATTTTGCGTTACCTGGGGGGTACATAGCTGATGACCACACTCATGGAGGAACTCCAACTCTAGCTCGAGTAAAACAATTTCAAGGATTTATGATGGCAAACACGCTAGCGTTTTTCTGCTCGTCGTTAGCCGTCCTAAGCCTTGTGTTTGCTGGAACACCTACAGTTGAGTTGCCAATGCGTTACATGCACTACAATATATCCATATGGCTATCTCTGAATGCAGTAGGGTCCTTGGGCCTAGCCTTTGCAATAGCTGTATATATCTTGATTACTCCAGTTGCTGCTAAAACCTCAATTGCGGTCATTGTGGTTATTCTTCCAATAGGAATCCTCTATTCTCCCTCAGTAATTGAAAAATTTACTGTGCTTTTGTTAGTGTTATGTATTAGACCAGGAATATTGCCACTATTAAGATCTAGTATCTCTAAGGTAATGTTCCTCATGTGTTGGCCGTTCATAGTAATATTTGGTTGGCAAGAATTATCATCACGGTACCAATGATTTGAACAAGCGGCTTCAGAGTGATACCATGATATATGGACATATATTTCTTGTGCACTTTTGTAAGTTTTTTCATCTTGTTTGAATGGACATGTGTTTTAATTATGAAAGGCACATTCTGTTGTTGTTTGAATGGACATGTCGCTAGGCTGGGGCTGCTTGGCACTACCCCAGATCTGGGCATCACTGTCGTTTCAAAAACCCCCTTCACTATCGGATTTTAAACTGACAGTGGCATACCGGCAGTGATGGGGTGACATCACTGTCGGTTCTTAAAAACCGACACTGATATACAGGCAACAGTGTCGGTTCCTGGCTCCACCCGGCAGTGTCCAGTTGAACAACACTGCCGGTTTGTAGTCCCAACCGACAGTGATGGTTGATTCAAGAGTGTTGGTTCTTGGCTCAAGCCAGTAGTGTTGAGCAAGCCTACACTGTCGGTTCATGGCTCAAGTCGGCAGTGTTGAGCAAGCCAACACTATTGGTTCATGGCTCAAGCCGGCAGTGTTGAGCAAGCCAACACTGTCGGTTTGTTGCTAACCGGCACTGATGGTTACAATAACACTGCCGGTTTGTTGATAACCGGCAGTGATGGTTACGACAACACTGCCGGTTTGTTGCTAAACGACAGTGATGTCCCGTTCGTATTTTATTGTTTTATAATTTATTTTAATTTATATTTTTTTTAAATCGGGTTTCGCTTTATATACGCTACGTAGACGACAGGTCCATCAATATTAAACATTACAAATGTTACGGTTACAGTTCAAATGTTCTTATCAAGATCTCGATCCCTCAAAATAAAAAAGAAATTATTCGATAAGATGAAGCATGCTTCTCGAACTTTTTACAATAATCTAGCGAGCCGCTCTGTGCCATACTGGTCCTTGAACTTTACGGATTGTGCAATGAAAAATATTCCATCTTTTTCCAATACCTCGGCTAAGATGAATTTTGCTAGCTCCGATTGCAGTGCGACGATCTCCATTTCTAACAGCCTTTCGTGGTTATATTTCTTGCACTGTCGTTCAAAAAAGATGATATCCAAAGAGGAATCAGTAAATCATTTTATTGAATTATTAACATACATAAATAAAATAGGGATTATACACACCAACTTATCTGCTTCTTCCGATTTATCGCCGATGTAGCGAAGCATTGCCCACATTACATAAAATCCACATTCATTGTTTCCCGCCGGCTGTTTTAGGTACTTCCCCTCCATTTCGACAACCTTGAATGGGACCTGCGTCCCACCGATATGTCTTTTTCGGACACTGTGCAACATTAAAAGAAGAAACATTAGAAAGCGGTATGTGTGACTAGAAAATAATATGTTATTAGGATCGCTTACTAATTCAGCACTGCCACCAGTGCATCCAGATGATGAAATGGTTTTTTCTTCGAGTCCCACACCTCGATCAGATTTTTAGCAAGATTGACACAAATGAAGACAAAATGGTTGCTGCAATCACAGAATTCTAATTATCAAATAATGTTAACGAAAAAAGAAGCATAAAATTAAAAGCTGAGAACACATACTCGTAGTTGTAGGCTAGAAGTATGTGGGTTTTGTTCTCCATCTTGAATTCATCGAAAACAGCAATCAATCTCTCTTTCAGGTCTTCCACGTCACATCCATGGAGGCCTAAACATGTCTTCTCATTGACTCGCAAGGGTCCAAGAAGCCTATGTTATCCCATTTGCTTTTTAGTATGCAAAATTTTACTATACACCTACATAAAATCATGGGAATTGCACAAAAGTTAACAATTTGTGCTTTGAGAGAGTAGTTAATTATAATGTCGTGCGTGTAGGGTAATTACATAGTCCACAGCGTCAACATTTGTGAATCGAGAGAGCGTTTCTAGTATAGCTGGAACAAGTACTTCCACTCGACATTGAACTTCTCTTCTTCAGGATAATAAAAAACATGTGGCGAACGGATAATAACCTCAAAACCAAAGTCTTCCGTCTCTATTACTTGAGCCTGTAATATTCATGCAACTGGTGCATATACGTTGTCAATTTTTTATACTCGTCATCGGGAACCAAAAGATTGCCCCTTTCACACTTCATTACCGGTGTTCCCATCCCTTGTACATCATAATAGATGTTCACGGCCTCTTCCATGGTTAATTCGGGGTTGTCTTCGACGTACTTCTGTATCTTTCTTAAATCTTCATTGTGTATTTCATCGGCTCTTATTGTAGCGTACTGATTCTGTGTTTGCCTTTCAAATTCGGACTTCAACAAACACGGAGGAAGTGAGGCACAGAGATTGAAGAAACTAACACAATCTTCCTTCGAGATGCATGCTATAAATTTTTCTTCAATCAAGTTTGTAACGCTGCTACTGAACAACCTTTTTCCTTTTTGTTGGTCCACTTTGGGAGCATTAGCGACCGAATCCAAGGACCTTTTCTGCAACTGCAAGGATTCCTTTGATCTTGTTTTGGGCTGAGGTGGAGGAGGAGGAGGATGACGACGACAAGAATTCTATTTTCCCGGCGCTGATGAAGATGGAGGAGGAGGAGGAGTCTTCTCTTTTCTCGGGGCTGATGAAGATGGAGTCGGACGAGGAGGAATAGAAGAAGACCTTTGTCTTCTCGGGGTGATGGCAAGGGATGAGGAGGGGAGTGATCTCTGTTAGGAGATGGTGAGTGATCAACGCAGATGGGCGAAGACTCCAAGTCATCCTCTTTATCAGAGGACAATTGGTGGTTAAGCTTAATGAAGCGCTTGCGCCAGGCCACTTGAGAGCCCTTGTTATGATGAAGTTTTGGCCTGTCTTCCGCTGCGGGGTACTCAATGTGTATCTTGTTATACTTCTTATCAAGTATTCTGTCAATGGTGACGCGAGCGTACCCCTATGGAATTGGGCGGCCATTAATGGTCCCGTCTCCCGTAGGCCAGGCCTGGCCGAGTGCCACCTTGTCCTTTGTCCATTCCTTTGTCCATCTTGACATTGACGGGTTCAGTGATGCCGTCCACCGGATGAGGCACATTCGCATCTTCTTCGTCGAGCGGGGTCGATCCGCAGCTGCTGCGACCCCTAAACTGTGGGCTAAAGGTTGTAGGAGTAGGGTTTTATGGTACTCCTAACCCCTTGGACATCAAAATTTACTGAACTCGTCCTTCAATAATTGCCTCAATCCGTGCGTCCATTCTATCTTCCATCCCTTTTAGTCACCTCAAACACTCTGCCTCCTGATCCGCTCTACCCCTCGAGCGGCTCCGGTAAGTGTGAGATTCTTCAGGGAATGCTAGTTTCCAAGGAACAACAACGGTTCCTCTAGTATGACCAGGGTGCTCCTTGGTTCTGAGTGCTTGGGTGAGCACGTCTTTCTCTCTATTAGAAGTGCGAGTCCCTTGCCTCACCTCCTCAGTTACTTGGGAGATCCTCTGGATGAGTTCGCTCATGGATGGATTTGTGGAGCTAAAGCTCCCATCCTCGGCGTGGCTTACATTCCTACCCATACAGTATAATACCGATCTTGGCTCCCAATGGGCGGTCTCAACCTGAACGCCTACCTCAGCAAGGCGATCCATCTTTTCAAGTTCTGCTTCAAATTCTGGCATCCTTTTGGCGCAGCTACGAGAGCCGAGATGATGAGGATTTGTCGCTTTCTGCGAGTTCTCCTTATTTTCCTGCTCATTTCTAAGTACTCCTCGGATAACCTGTATTCCTTGAAATCATGCCAGAAGTCCTTCTGCTTGCTAAACTGTCCACCATCGAAATCTGGCTCTTTATTTTAGAGGACAAAATTCTTGTACAATGTCCCCTCGAAATTCTTGAAGCATGTCTCCATGATTTCTTTTGCTTTTTTTGACTACCTCCTTGTCATACTCCATTGGGAAAGTGAAATACTCTAGGATCTTGATGTCCCATATGTAATCCTTCTCACTTTCGGGAACCCTCCATGAGTCATTATCTTTCCCATTCCACTTCCTGTACCTAATCGGGATGAAGTCTCGGACAAGTAACCTGAGGATAGTCTTGTATTTGGTCAAAGCTATAGGCGGTGAGAGTGGACCCCCGAATTCATCGAACTCAGTGATGTGCTAGTGTGCATTCCTACCAATAGGAATCTTTGACACGCCTCGCTTGGATCTGGCCTTCCTGCTACCCGAACCCTCTAGCTCCTCAGCCGACGGAGGCCCCTGCTGGAGACACCAAGTAAGCTATGACCCTCTCAATTGATTAGCATGTGTGGCTATATAGTCACATGATACCAAAGTTACCTGGCCATCTTGGTTATTTTTACCCAGCTCGAGCAGGCCGGACGGGGTCGATGGCTGCTCGTTCTCACCGTCCTGATTGACACCCTCACCGTTTGTCGGATCATGTGGCTCTCCTGTCCTAGCGATATCAGCCGCTTCTTGTTGCCGACTTGTTCTTCGGCGACGGGGTAACATGCAACGACGAGTCATGGCTGTGACATGATCGTGGTTAGTTTTGGCTGTGGACAACTACTAATAGCATATGTTCATATTATATATATAATATGTTTAATGCAAAGTCTAATAATAAGTCCACATACAACAAAGTCAAATAATAGCATATGTTCACCTAGAACAAATTCATTGTTTGATTGACCACATACAACAAAGTCCACCTACTGTTCTACGAAATTAAGCCTACATCAACTTCCAAATAACAAAAGCAATGACCATAGCCATAAATAAAAGCATGACATCTTTCCAAGACTAAGGAGCAATTCTCCTAATCTTCACATCTTCGGTGGGTGGCTTATCTTCAATCTCCAGTGCCAGCTGATGGCCATGGTTTGCATTCATTGGACCATAGTAGGCCGGTTGCCCATGGTTTGCAAGGTAGACCAGATGACTATAGTAGGCCCTCAAAGCTTCAGCTTCTGTGTTGTATTTTTTATGCAAATTACCAGGGTAACGATTGACTTGTGCATAGCAATCTTGCTAGGTTTGATAAATCCCAGGCACGTGACCAACATGCACTACATACCATGCCATGGTTGCCT